CATTCTGCTCTGCGCATAATCGCAGGAGCATATAGGACCACGCCAGTGGAAAGCCTCCACTCTGAATTAGAAGACCCTTCTCTGAGTTTTCGCAGAACCCAGTTGAGTTTGTCATATGCTGCCGCAGTTGCATCTATGAAAAACATTCCCACTCACAGGAATACAATAACAAATCGATTTCTAGCAAGTTACTGTCGGCCGAGATCTCCCATTTTACGAGAGGATCCGGCGACAAGTAAGTTCTTTACAAATGGAGTCATTTCCAACTCCGTACCCCACTAACATCAATTCTGCACCACCATGTCTCATATAGACTCATATCATAAACACTCTCCTATCCCAGTTTCTCAAACACGATACAAATAAGAACATCATCAAACAAAGTTTTCGACAAATCCTGGACCTGCAGTCGTGGCTGACTTTGTTGCATTAACCTTTAAACTTCCAGAAACAGCAACAATACTAACTGGAGAATTACTCGCCATCCTTCAAGCTCTCCAGTACGCTAAGTCAAGTGCATCGGACACTGTCTCAATCATTTCAGACTCTCTCAGTGCCTTACAACGCCTTCAGCGAATATATATCAAACACCCCATTGGAATACAACACACAACAATTTTTTGAACTCCAATCGCTCAAGAAGAAAATCATCCTACTTTGGGTTCCTTCGCATGTGGGGATTGTTGGAAACGAGAGTGCTGACTTTCATGCTCGTGAAGCGATTGATAATCCGAACCAAAGAACAACAATGTATAGCCCTCATACCGACCTGAAACAATACTCCAAAAGCTTATTGTTGAGTAAGTGGAACATTGAATGGCAGAGTACTCCATCCAAACTGAGAGAATGTAAACCCAAAGTCGGACCATGGAACTATGGAACACTGAAAGAAAGGAAAAATTTATAATCACCCGTCTTCGATTAGGACACACCAATACTTGATATCTCTAGCAGATCAACCACAGTGCCACATTTGTGAAGTTGCACTAACAATACATCACATCATAGTGCAGTGTCCAGTGTTTCTATTAGAAAGGGAAATGTGCAAAATATCGAAGGAACCGAGGAAACCTTGAGTTATTTTAGTGCTAGCAAGATTTTAACTTATTTAAGTGCTCTGAACTTATCCAACAAATATAATGTTGTAATCAATATAGTCACTACTTGTAAATATCTTTTGCGCCGCTAATAACCATAAGGTTGATGCGCTTATTTTCAAATAAAAAAAATATCATTATTCAATAGATTTGTACACATATACATGAAAACATTCATTACATTTATATTCATACATATGAGCAAACACATTTTCATTTTGCATCAAGAAATCCTTTGATACTATAGTAACAACTGTCGAATGAAAAACATTTCACATAGAGTGAAACATTTTATAACGATAAAGAATCATTATTTATAATAATTATGATGTATATGGAAATTATTTTTCAGTTTTATCTAGAGGAGTAATTGTTTATGAATTAAATGGATTTTCAATATACCGAATGGATATGTGTCTAAGTTATAATAGTGTACGTATATTAATACATTCGGCTGAGACTACCACTCCATTGTCTCCGTCTTAAAACATGTGAATTTCCTCCTGGATTTGGCATTGGTTGATTTGATTTCATTGAAGAAAATCGTTTTGTGGTCTTGTTAGTTGTTAGGCTGAAAGAAATGAATATTCCTTCTGCGAGTCCACTTAATCGTACAGTCTTCTTTAGGTTTTTGGATGAGTAGTACACAACAGCAAAAAAAAATTAATTCTATAGGTATTATTTTTTTATTTATTGGTTAATGGTGAACGGGGCCAATATATTTATAATTAAAAATGAAAGTTTTCAATTCACATATCAATCAATTTGTTAAGTTGAAACTCACCAAATTATAAGGAAAAGTTACCTTTAGAAGCACTTGTTGAAATATATGATTTCATATATCAGTTCTGTTTTATACTGACTGAACCCAAATGACTGTTATTAGGATTTCCTCTTTCAACAATGACGTATTGATTTTTTTCATCTCATCAACATAAAAAAGTGTTTATCATTTTGTTTTGAAACATTATCATACAATAAAAACCATTTGAGTGAATTCCACCGTAATTTAACTGATAGAATCGTCTAATTTCTTTCACAAAAATGTTATCATTAAGTTAATATACGAAGTTTGCTTTGAACTAATATACCAGAAATTAGTTACGATAATACTCTCCACATGGGAAATTATTCCTACATTGAAATTGAATGCACAACTATCAACTATCATGTGAAATGAACAAAATACAATTAGTAATAGTTGTCAAATTGAATATTATACATAATATTTTACCAAAAATAATGAGTGAATGGCATGCCAATAAACAGAAATATTATTTTGGTGAATTATTAAAATTCACGACTTTTTGGGAAAAACTGAGACAAATTCAATGTTTGGGCTAGTACACCAGAATCATTAACTTCCAAAACTTCCAATTAGACTATGGCCCAATTATGATGATGACCCGTTACTTGGTGATTATCAATAACACTATTCATGATAGTAAGCACAAATTGTTCACATTATAGAATTTATTTCCAATACGCATTCCGCTACATAGTATCATCCTGTCAGAGGATGTAGTGAAACGCGAATATTATTTCTCGATACTCTCTGACTTCTGAGGCACAGAAAAAGAGACAGTACTTTTTCACCTTCTGGGAAAAAAACTTCTTTTCTCTCTCGACAAATAGACACATGATTTTCTGAAAAAGTAGGACAAAACGGTTAAATATTCTGACTCATTCACAATGCTAGTAATCACGCATTGAAAGATAAACACTCACTAGCATTTAGAAGCTCCAAATTTCGACTACTGTGGGATGTCAAGAAGAGACGAAACTGATTTTTTTAGTTCCCATAAGTGCAACGGAAAATTATTCTTCCTTATTCTTCTTATTAAAGGCTGGTATATGAGTTTATATTTTTAAAGTTCACTAAATACCATAGATTTAAACTTACTTTTCATTCACATCACTCATCGTCTCACTTTACCTTACGAAATCTACCTACATTTATATATTCTGTATTAATCAAAATGGAAATTCTATTCATCGATTATTATGTACAAATCACCTATTTTGCGAATCGTTCATTTATTACATGAGTATTTGGTGATTTCCAGATGATATTAACGTTTCCCAATGTTGAGTCATCAAAGGAATAATTTTTATGAAAAACGATCTCCTTGTGTACATATTCCTGTGAATAACACTTCAAATAATATTATGAAAGCTATATTGTACAGAAAATTTCAATTTGCTATGGATTTTTTTGTCTCACTCACTAATCATTCTTGTACTTGGTTTATATGATGGGCCACTGCCAACATAGTTTTGTGTTTTGAATATTTTGTGTTTTGACTAATTGTCTAGCTTCTAATTCCTAATATATACTTCAACAAGTACCATATTGTGATGGACATTGAAGAATTATTTCCTTTCTTCGGCTTGGATGTCACTCAATAGGGAATTTTCTCTCTGCTTGAATATGATTTTTGTAGTGTTGGAGAAAATCAAAGAGGCAATAAACTCATTTCAACCCCAGGGACCAGATGGCATCCATCCTGACTAGAACTCTGGGATACATAGCAAAAACATGAAGACTAATTTGGATCACTTCATCCAAACACTTGGAAATATCGGATAGGATTTGGCGAAGGCCTTGCAACCAATCGGTCTCGTGGTTTTTGCATTAAAGACGGGTATAAAATACTGTGAAACCAGTATATCTACAAAAATGACTTATGTTGGGTTATTGAGAAAATAATATGCTTAGAAGAACTAGGAAAGTATTTTAGCTGCTTTCTAGGGTATAGTGAATCCAAAGATAATAATCCACTCAGTAATGTTCCTAAATGACACGCCTGAGTGGGTATATATTTTTCAATTCTATGACACTATGTTCTCAGGAACGACTGACGTTTTTGCCTTAATCTGTCTCTTGAAGTGACGTACGCAAATTATACTGAACAGACGAGAAAAAATGATGATAAAATATATAGAATCACAACCTTGACAGCAATGTTTTCGTTTTCTAGTATAATGAAATTGTACTTAGTTGCCTAGTTAAAACTGCTGTGGAAGACAAAGGACAAATTTCGTTCGACGGTGGATGTCAAAGCACAATAGAATACAACCAGTAGGCTCTCTTACCACGTGATCCGCCCGAGTTGTGCGTTCAGTGCTGTAGTATCGAAGGATTCGACGTCACCACGGGCATCGTGTTAGTTATAATTAACGGTGGGAAATTGATATTGTGTTTAGTTTATTCACCGTTGTTATTATTGTTTTTAGTTTTGGAGTTGGTTATTGTTGTTTATTTTATTATTAAGTGATTAGAAAATGGGAGATGTAAAAAGGCAATTATAAAGAAGTCAGGAAATGTTCGCTGCTTCAAAGAAATTTTATAGATTCTCGAAAGATCCCGAAAGGTAAGTAACTACCTGATACGTTGCTCAATCTGTATGATTTTTATTCTATGGCAAAAATATGGCTGGAAGCTTGCTCCAGACCTGATTTGCTTAACAAATTAGAAACACCTCATTCCCAAAATCTTGTTTTTTGTTATTTCACATGAGTACTTATTTGCAACACATTATTTTATATGTATTAACATTATAGAAAAAATAATTCAAGACAAAAGAGAAAGAAGATTAAACAAAAAGAAAATACACATTTAAAGCTGAGATGAACATTTTTCTAAATGGTCAACAGCCGGATTTTTTGCTCGGGCTGGCCGGACGGCGATATCAACACATTTGTGGACCGCATGTTTCAAGGGTTGGTGAAATCGCTATACAGAATAAGTAACTTACCACAAAATCTTCTATATTATCCTTAAATTTCGTTTTTATATGGACGCACATCTATGGTAAAATAACGAAATCGGCTCCGCACTTCATTTCGAGGTCACCGAGAACGTTGTGAATTTATGAATGAAAGTATTGGGAATTGACTTACTGGTTGATTATTTTTACTGTGGTCAAAGCTTGGCTTTGCGATAAACCTTCTTGGAGAGTTTCTTCTATCTCTTAAATTCATGGATTGAGTCTTCCGTCGTTTCCACATATGATGACTTCGTAAGAGGAGATGCCATCGCCTTTACTCACTTTGCCTTCACTACAATAGTACTTTTCCAATTCAGATTGATTTACGACTAGTGGCAATCATTATTGCTGGATAATCATGTATCCAAAATTTGAATGATGTGAATTGATGAGCAAATTTTGATTTACAAGGAAAAATTGTTTCTCTATAAAAAATCTTACTGCAAAATCTTTTGGATTTACTAAACAGTTTTACGCAACACGTGTTTCGACATACAATGGCTTCTTCGGGCGTGTCTGTAAAGACGCCATTTTTGTAGATTGAAATTACGACTGAAACTTTCAAGTCTGGAGGATTATGATATCCTGATTTATTGAAAATGTAAACAGTAGGGTCTGCTATCTGATTAGCGATTAGGTTTAACTTTTCCCATCCCTTACATGTATTTTCTTGATTTTTAGCTATCATATAACACAGACGTATTATTAACGCATTATTAGATCCAAAAAGAAGGACTTTTTAGTGCTTTTTTTCTTCGATATCACATTTTATACGAGTAAAACTGAAGATCATCTATCATCTTATATCACACCTTAAGATTTCATAAAATCTTCAACTACAATTTTTTTTTAACAATTTCGAAAAATGACCGTTGCAAAATGTAATAATCATAATGGATAGAGGAATTTATTAATGTGAAACACGTGTGTGTGAAATAATTATCATCTCCAGTGCATAGAAAGCGACTAATTAAATGCCTATCAAGAGATCACACTGCCGGCAGGTTAGTGAATATGAAAACTGTAGATGGAAAATTGTCGGAACAAAATCACAAGTCAAACTATAACATAGATTACCTTATGTCAATGGAAGTTGATTGCCCTATGTAAAAAGTAATTGACAATATCTCCAGATGAACACCATCCACACTCCAGTCACTGCAAAAATATGTGTGAAACATTCACCGCATGCCTAGTTTTACTGTCAATGCCACTAAGTGTTAAACATAACAAAAGAGACTCTCATAGTTTTAGAAAAAGTTACACAAATGGAGTTCATGGTCATTGTTACGTAAAGCTACTTGAGGTTTCGAATTTGTTATTATTATTTATTGTTGCAATATTTTAATGTATTGAATGGTTATTTTCGAACCACGATTTACGCATGGGTGACGCATTGGAAAATTTATTGACCATCATGATTAGATAATCCAGCAGTTGACAAAAATATGCTAACGTTTCATCACTCGTAGTATGACGATTACATTGGCTTGGTTTTTAATCATTATTTACTACAGAGATTGCGATAAGGTGTGTGTACTCACATTTTATTTCAAAGAAAGACTAAGATAACTTCAAAAGGGAGTGTAAGAAGGGAACTACATATTCAAAAACAGTCTATTCAAGACTTCAGCTACCACCTTGATATACTTCATAAACAGAAATGGTCAAACCAGTGGCGATTCTAAAACTTAAGGGCGGGGGAGGAGGCACTATAACTAGGCGCCAAGATTCAGTAAAAAGGCACAGGTATTTGAAGTAATACTGTATTTTCCATTAAGAAAAGAAATAATATCACAAAACTCTAATGAAAGAAATATTTCAATAATAAACAATGCGCACTTGCAAAAAGCCAGCATACAAAACAAAACATTTTATTATCTCTTGGAGAGTAAACTAACCATTGACGTACGCTGCGCTGTCCAGAAGTCGTTTCTTTAAGTTTGTACCAAGAAACGTAATTTTCTGTAATTGGAAACTGTAAAGTCTTGGAAGTCATCTGATAACCCAGGTTGGCAAGGTCCTTTTAGAATTAGTTGACACACTATTTCAGGGATCAAAATAGTATTTTCAAAAATGTGTCGACGACAAAATAGAAATATCAATTATAAAATGATTCATAAAAAACAAAATGTTTTTCCCACCTTCATTCTCAGCAGACATCTCATCAGAATCATCTTGCTCTTGAGTACCTACTATCACTATCCAAATCCGAATCTACTTCCGTAAATGTTAAATCAGCAAAACCTAATGAAAAATCAGATTTTGTTCTTACTTTATAGGTTGATGTGGATGAAACATCAAGAAATGTTGACTCCGTACTGACCGTACTCTTCGTAGTGTCAGGTTCATTTGGAACCGATTCCTCTACACAACTTTGAGTTTGAAATAATTGTTCTTTTGTTTCTCTGTAAATCTATAAGATTCCATAATGAATACGATTTCGGGTCTTCAACTAAAAATTAAGAACTTACGATTTGAAAGTTTTACAAAAATTTTATTTTGTTTTAGAATGTGATGTAGCAGCATATTTCAACTTTTCACGTAACTTTCGATGATCTGCTCGACAAACTGTTTATTCGTCAAAGTAACAATAACAAACCAGACTACTACTACTGCTACGAGTGCCACGCCGAGATACAATCAATTTCAAATCTCTTAGAAAATGACCACATTCGCATTGAGGTGCGTATTCACCAAAAAAGCGAGCACGAGCGAACAAGAGTGAAGGAGCATTCTGCATCAATATTCGTCTGGTGAGTACGGGCTAGCGAGTGAGCAAACGTATGCTTGTTCGCGTTCAGAAAAGACCGAGAAGAAGCCGGTACATTAAAAAGGTGCTCGCACAAAGTAGATGGATCAACAAACATACACAAATGCTCGCTTTTTTGATGAATACGCACCTTTAGACTGCTAGCGATATGGGATTCACAACTGATCGAGGTCGAGGTATTGAAAGCGAATGTTACCACGTTCATTGGTTTTCCGTATTATGTACCTAACAATAGATTTGTGAAATATTTAAAATCGGAAGGGCGCTAAGAACATTTTACAGAGGGCGGGTGGGGCATACTGCCCCCCTTGCGCCGTGGCGCCGCCACTGGGTAAGCCATCATCAAACCTGTTGTTATGGTTATATCTCAATGACTTGTTGCCGAAAGAAATGGAACAAACGTCAGTGCAACTAAAATTGGAGAATCTGGAACGATTCTCTATCCGTGAATCGCCACTGGGTAAGCCATCATCAAACCTGTTGTTATGGTTATATCTCAATGACTTGTTGCCGAATGAAATGGAACAAACGTCAGTGCAACTAAAATTGGAGAATCTGGAACGATTCTCTATCCATGAATCACAGGAGCCGTTACACATTTGAAGGAAATGCTTAATGTCTCAAGAATACATACAATTTAAAGATATAATTATAATCAGTATTATTAGATAAACCAAAGAACAAAAGAATAAAATCACAATTGCATCAATTCACGAGTGCTGGAATTCAAGGTCATAGATCAGCTTTTTGTCTACTACGTTGGAACATAAACTGTTCTTTCACTTTGATCAGTTTTATCTTTCTGCAGCTATCATTATAACTTACATACTTATAAACTAGACAAAAAACGAGAGAGATCTAGATATACTAGGAGAATGTATAAAGAAATTGACAATAAACGATTACTTGATAGATAGAATTGGAATCTCTGGCGTGAAATGAATTTATTGAAAACACTTTCCCCGCACCAGACCCAAAAAAACACAAGTTAAAATCATCTTCTAACTTAGCGAAACGCACGTAGTGAAATAGTAGTTTTTTATTGAAATCTTCATTTTCAATGAAATTGATGTGATTAAATTTTCATCTGAAAGGTTCCCACACACCAGAATTGGATGTTTCACAAAACTAGAAATAGACGTTTCTGAATTAGTTCCAATAACTGAAAAAATACTTTTCAAACTACGACTATAAGGAAAATTATGATCCTCACTGCGGATCCTGGTGGAGACTTCTGCTCATGTTTTCCATTATTTCATAAATGAATATCCAAGACAGTTCTGCACTCAGTAATTTAGGAAATGTTCAAGAGAAATAGAGAATACTGAGTTAGTTTTTCGTAATCTGGTTTAACACATTTTCCAATGCGACATTTCGTTCATTGAAATCCATCACCGAAATATTTTTACAAAATACGGACCAGTATATTTTTTTTATTCATTTTGGTAGTCATTGTAGTTACGAATTCATTGATATATTACAACATATGTATTTTTCGACGTTTTTCCCAAAAAAGCATCATGACATAAAGTCGTAATTTTATGAATGAATTAAGTGTTTTTTCTCATAATGTTATCCAGATTTGGTGCTGAAGAGCCGACAAGGCAAGTGTCTTACGGTGAAATATCAGATGTCCACCAGTGAGGATGACAGTGTTCCATGTAAGAGAAATTTTACCTCATTCATTTGCTATATTGTGTAGCAGTCCTGTGAATGACATCTGATTCAATTCCATAACGAATGTTTCGAATACAAACGGAATAGAGAAAGTGTTTTTCATATGATTCAGCGTTCATATAAAAGTATTAGATCAGAAAGAATTTTGCTTTCGTGTAATTCAATGTTTATATGAAAGTATCTGTTTCAGGAGGGCTTTTTTTAGTTTGTGCCTGAAAGTTACTTTTTTGCATGATCTACATATCTATGTCCATAGACAATTTTTTGAAATTGATTGCTTCCTTCCTTTCTTTGGAAATTTCCCTTATTTTGTGCCTGAAAGTTACTTTTTTGCATGATCTACACATCTATGTATATAGACAATTTTTTGAAATTGATTGCTTCCTTCCTTTCTTTGGAAATTTCCCTTATTTTTTGTATGAAGATAAATATGCCGCACTCCATATTTCCCATTTCCCTGCAACTAAAATGCCTGGCCTCAGCAAAATGTTGTATGACTAGAAAAATATAATGTATTCCTATGAAATGGTACCACCTCAGGAGGCGATATTGTTAGGAGAATGTAGTTTTGTGATCAAATAATGGCAATGTTTTTGGAAATGTGATCCAGTCAGAGCATGTTTTGTTTTCTGATGAGTGAATCTGCACGATCATGTTAATAGTCAAAATGGCCGCGTCTGGTCTAATAAAAATCATCATTGGATGATGAGTATCAATTAAATGGCCAGAACGATCCCCTGATCTAACGTCATTGGTCTATTTCATGTAAGTATTGTATACAAAACTGAACCCATCGACTTAGAATGGCCACGCCTTAGATTTTAAGTAGCGTTAGAAGAAATTTATGATTGAAAAAAGTTCGCGGCTGAAATTTTGAACATCCCCTATATTGGCATTAATGTTCTTTATACAGTATCAAGAAATGAACAGTACTACTTATCAGGCTTTGAATGTATTGTGAATTCATTAAATCACATAATTTTCTATGTATACCGGGTGGCAACGAAATCATTGTACCTGACACCATTCTTTTGTTTCTGAAGTGAGAAAATCAAAATTCGATGGAACGTATAATTTACTGAAACTGATATTTCCCAAAAAAAAACATTGAAAATCTATTTATGTTCGACTAGGAATGAACTCAAGTTAGGAATTTTGAATAACACGCTGTATAATTCTGTATTCTCTGATCATTTTCTTTCAAAATGACGTCGTTGGAGACATTTTCTCCAAATTTAATGAGGCGTCACTATAACGCCATCTATAGAAATATTATCGAACAACGTATATAGTGAAACAAAAGACGATATTTGCACAGTTTTTGAAACAAAATAGGAAAAGAAATTTTCCACCATTTATCACTTAATTTGTCTCAAAATTTTTGATTTTGAGCTCCAACATTAAAGTCTACCTCTAAATTTTACAAAAATATGTCAAAGATACTTTGCGATTTTTTATTCCGTGCTAAAGAAAGAAATGGCAAGGAAAAATTGATGAGTGTTACGAGAATTGGTGAGAAATCTCAAATCTTGAATTTTTATTCAAAAGCGGAGCGATCGTCGTTGTTTGACTATATTTCCATAGATATTGTCATAGTGCCGCCGAATTTAAAGAAGAGGATCACTTGTGTTATACCTATCACTGAAAAATCAATTTAATATTCTGACAAATGGCCTGAAAAATATACAGAATTTTATTAAAAATTCTTGACTTAAACCAGTTTTTCCATTAGAAACATTGGCTTAACTGAACTATATTTCGTTTCAAATTTCTTACCC